AAAATGATAATTTTGTACTAAATTTATTTATGTTTAGGACTACGGTTTGTAATAATGATAATGAATGTTATTAATGATGATACCGTTGTGTATTTGTGATAGTTTTTATTACTTGTGAGTATTCATGTTTCATGTTTTTTCCAAAAAAAAGTGAAATATGTTTTGAAAACTGATGTTCAAGCACATTTTATCTTCAAATCGAACTTCACCCAAATTAAATTTTTTTAAATAAATTTGAAAATCTCTAGCCAAACGCTAGTTAAATATTTATTCTGTTCTAATTCTCAAAAGTTTAAAGTTCGATCCGTGGAGTTGAACTGACGAAATTTTGTCTCATTACTGTAGAGAAAATGTGGGGTCTGGTCGTGAATGAAACCCACAATAACTATTTAATAGATTACTTTACTTTAGGTACTTTTTTCATGAATTTATCTTTATCTACGTTGTCATAGACGTAAAAGAAAAGGAGATAATTGTTCATCCTTTTTTTAAAATTATTATTTACTTTAATAATTGTACATCCTTGAGTACATCCTTGAGATAATTGTTCATCCTTGACTTTACTTACTCAAAATTATGTTAAAAAAGAAGAGTCTATGGATGTTGCAGTAACTCCTTACCCCCACTATCATTCACTGTAACTCCTCACTCCTTAAAGGGTATAACGCCACTTTTTATGGCGCTATATCAAGTGTGTCAGATTTTTTTTATATAACGCCAGAAAATCTGGCGCTATACATTAACGGTGCAGTTACCGTTAATGTATAGCGCCAGATTTTCTGGCGTTATATATACTTTGGTAACTTTTTTTTTTACACCTATTTACGTAATTTGAGTCCAAAAGAATCACATTTTGGTTCCGCACTCGTTTTGTGGGCCATTAGTATAAAGGTCCCAATCAGTCACTTCTTCAGGTGATTTGCACAGATAAAAAAGCAAATTCAGTGCCGTCATTTAAACTTTGACACTGTTAAGAAAGCAAGCAGGTAGGTTGGAATTTTGGGAAGCGACAGAATTTTTCTTATGGTGATCGCCAAAATTTTGCCACTAAACCTGAAGATTACCATAACTATATGTTAGGAAAACTCACGCTATTGCCATGAGCGCTTCCAAAAATTCTAACCATTGTGCTTCGAAAATCTGGGTAGAGGCTATTTTTTCAAGACTTTTCTTAGCAGGGTCAAAATTTAAATCACTTAGGACCCATTTTGCCATAGATTTTGCCAAAATTTAATCAGGTTTTTTTTTTGGCAAATACATGTTTGTTCTTAAAATTTATCCATATTTTGGCAAATTCCCAAAACCCAAAATACTGGTTTTGGCCCGAAATATTACTGTCACAATTTTTAAAAATTGCCCCAAACTTTTGTATTTTATAAAAGAGCCCACCATTTATTATTTTGTAACAATGCTCTTCGTCTTCTCGGTCATCTGATAGTGTATTATGTAGTTCATTATAAAAATGATGATTTTGTACCAAAATTATTTATGTTCAGGACTATGGTTTGCGATAATATAACGAATGTTATAGATGAAGGTACTGTTGGGTATTTGTGATAGTTTTTAAAACTTGTGGATATAAGTCATGTTTTATGTTTTTTTTTAAAAAAAAAAGTGAAATATGTTTTGAAAACTGATGTCCAAACACATTTTCATCTTCAAACCAAACTCCACCCAAATCAGACTTTTGAAAACAAATTTGGAAATCTATGGCCAAACGCTAGCTTAATTTCGTGTTTTCAATTTGTCTAATAGAGGTCAATGGTCTCAATAAGTATCATCAGTCAATAAATACCATAATTTTTGACATTTTGAAAACTTTTTCTGAAAACATTATTTAGTAGACTCATAAAAGTATGGTTGAGATTATTGTTTGATTAAAAAGTATAAAACCTCTTGTTGAACTAATTTTAAGCAAAAAGATAAGGGGCTAATCCCAGTTAAAGATAATAACCTTGGATCTAAAACAACTCTATGAGAGTAACGTGAGGGCCATGTGAAAATGAATTTAATGCAACACACATTAAATGTTATGGTTGCTAAAAGAAAGAAGATAATGATAAACAATAAATACAATGAATGTTAATAAATGTAAATAAAGGAGAAGATTAACCCAATATTGAATGAGGTGGATGATTCCTCCCTCTGACAATGATGGGTGACAAGAAACTTATAAGAATATTGAAGACTTTTTCGGATCTAGTGGAAATGACAAGGAATAATCCAAAAGGACCAATCTCCTTGGAAAGGTGTTCTTTGTATTTATCTAGAAAGCTCACTTTTCAAAAGTGTTCTTATCATATGGAATATTATATGCCTTTTGCCTTATCTCTCATACTATTTATATGGGATATTCCCAAAGAACCCTAAAAGGTACATGTATACGGTGAATCGGAGGGTCCAATTTCCCCTTATTAAGGCATTCCAGAAGACCATCTCGGAGCCTCGAGGCCGTAAAGCTGTGACCGAGTTCCCTCCCCCGAGGCTCGTCGACACCCGGTCTACAGGCAATATTGACCTTGGCAAGGGTAAAGACGGGGAGTTCCCAAGACACACAACTAAGTCTGACAAAGCCTAGCCGGCCTACTCTGAACGGCTTACTCTGAACCCGAATCAGGGTGTCATGTCTAGCCGTCCCATCTCCATATCTTTACAATTAATGTATTTTATACCGTGTAGGGATTCCCCTTCTATATAAAGGGGATCCTTGTCATTTTGTAAAGGGCGGCTGTTGCTCCAACTACTTCACACGAAATATACAAGAACTCTCTCTTTTTTCTCTCTAACATACTCTCTCGATATTGTTGTTCTTATTTATTACTTTCATACTTGCTCTTCATTTATTGCTTATCATTGGTGATAAAGAGCCTTCGCTGATTATTTTACAACTGTTAGCCCTTCCCCGATTACCCTTAATAGCTTGAGCCGGAGCCCAGGAATCGACCTCGAGACCCCGTATCGGTCAGTCCGAGGCCTCGATTGGTCAGCTCATCGGTTCGATTGTAACTCTATTTTAGCTTGCATTTCATCTCCAAACTTCATACACATAGCATCATCTTCTTAAATAACTACATAAAAATAGATCACGTATTTTTAGAGTCCCATCAACAAATTTAATTGTTATTATCGTTTTCACGGTAAACAGTTTGGCGCCCACTGTGGGGCTAAAAATAATAGTGATTATTTTCTTGCTGGTTTCATCACATAACACAAGTTATCTTTCACACTTTTTCTTGTCCAAAATCTTCGGTTTCAGGTTAAAATGTCTGATTCAGTAAACAACAATATGGAGAACCACGGAGAAAATGGTGTGGTTGTTATAGGTGTTGGTGAGCCGCCACAAAATCTTGAGAACGCGCCAGGACCGATTCCGGCGGACGGAATCTCATGTGACGCTCGACACGTCGAAATAAGCTCCCACACTAACAGGAGAATACACCAAGTCGACCAACAGGAAGCCCAAAAAATCCCAGCTCTGGAAGAACGGGAAGTTAGCCTTCATGTTATTTTTGAAATGTTGCAGGCGCAACAGCTGGCTATTGCTGAGTTGCAAAGTCACCAAAAGACTCCTAGCACGATAGCACCGGAGACAGCTCCCCCGGCCGAACAGGTACCGAGGAGGTCGAGTAATAATGATCGATAGCCGATCTCGCCATCATAAAAATGCTCGAGGATCTCACCAAAAGGATTGAATCGGGCGAGAAAATGATAGCATCCAACGACAAGAAGGTCGAGACTTACAACTCCAAGGTCGACCAAATCCCGGGCGCACCCCCGGTCCTGAAAGGTGTGGTTTCGAAGAAGTTCGTGCAAAGGCCGTTCCCTAAGGAAGCGGCTCCGAAACCCATTCCAAAGAAGTTTAGAATGTCAGAACTCCCAAAATACAATGTGACCTCAGACCCCAATGAGCACGTTACTGCCTACGCGTGCGCAGTGAAGGGAAACGACCTAAAAGACGATGAGATCGAGTCCGTCTTACTGAAGAAGTTTGGGGAAACACTCTCGAAGGGGGCCATGATGTGGTATCACAACCTAGCTCCCAACTCCATAGACTCATTTGCCATGCTAGCAGACTCCTTCATAAAGGCACATGCCGGTGCCATCAAAGTAGCAACGAGGAAGTCTGACGTGTTCAAGATCAAGCAGAGGGAGAACGAAATACTGCGAGAGTTCGTATCTCGCTTCCAAACGGAGCGAATGGAACTACCACCAGTCTCCGACGACTGGGCGGTGCAGGCCTTCACTCAAGGCCTGAATGAGCGGAGCTTGTGAGCACGTGATTTTTGCCCTATATGAATTACTCCATAGATTCAAGAAAACAAATTTCTCCCATTATTTGCAATTTTGTAGATTTTTGTGGCACTTTTATCGAATGTTTGCATTTGTCTGTGCACGTTTTTTTTATTTAATAAAAATACAAAAATATGTTGCATTTGCATTTAGGATTTAATTTTATATTTTTAGATTAATTAGTAAATTAGTGTTTCATAAAATTGGAAAATCACCAAAAAATAACTATTTTTTGCATTTTTATTGTTTAATTTTGAATTTTGGTAGTTTTCTTTAAAATTTGATTTTTAATTGGTTGTGTCAATTATTGTTTAGAGTTAATTAGTATTTTTGATAGGCTAGTTTAGTTTCAAGATTTAATTTAGGCTTTGATTTTTAATTGAAAAAAGGGGAAAAGAATTTCGAAAAAATTAAAAGAAATTGAAAGAGAAGGGAAAAAAAAGGGAAATCTGATTTGGGCTAAAACCATTTAAAAGCCCCAAAATTTCTGCCTTTAAACCCGTCCAAAACCAGCCCAAACCATGCCCCAACCCGGTCCAACCTTCAAACTCCTAAACAATTCAAACGACGTAGTATCAGGCCAATACTACGTCGTTTTGAGTTTCTTGAGGACAAATCAATCTGAGCCTTTCATTCCTCTTCATCGAACGGCCAGCAAAGCCTCACCATAATCACATAAGACTGTCCGAAAACCTTAGAACATTAACCTAGTATCATCTTCTTCATCACAGCCTCCTCTCACCACCGTCCGCCGCCCACCGAAAATCGCCAGCGGCGGCGGTTGACCTCCAATCCACACCAGATTTACACCATAACACCCTCTTCCTCCCCTCATGACGAATCCGTCGTTTGTTTCCTTCGAATCACCGTGGAACTCGTCGAATCTTTGATCGAAGCTTGGACGTTCAAACCTTATTTCACCCGAACCCATACCAGGTAAAGTCCAGACCGCCCCAAAGCTTATCCACACGCTTATTTCTAGAAAATCCCAACAAGACCTTCCCAGTCCCAAATCTGAGAAAATTCGATCCCTAATCTCTTTCTTCTTCTGATTCCGTTCAAGGCCTGGTTTCGTTTTGAATTATAATCTATGTTGTTTGATTGTTCTTAATGAGAACAATCAATCGACATTGATTTTAATTCATTCCGGGGAGGTCAGAGTTCGACAAGTTCATCAAAGTTCCAAGCCAATTGTTCACTCCCCATCGACACGCCTCATGTCGTCAAGGCATTCCAGCATGTTTGGTATTTCCCCCCTGTCCTTTCTCTCATCAATTTTATGCACTGTAGTATTTTTCTATTTTTTTTCTTCATTTGGTTCAGTTTTATTTGTTTCTTTTTGTTTTGCTTTGATTTGACTGATTAGCTTTAATAGCCAAGTTCAATTCTTAGTTTTGAGTAGCTCAAGTTAGTTTAAGTCTAAAATCAGGATTATTTGAGTTTGCCCTTCAGTGTTGGATTTGTTCTTTTCTATGGTTTCGTTTAATCATTTCTGAGTATTCAAGCCCCTCATAGTAACCATGGTCACCGCTGACCTAGTTTAAGAGGCTGGTTTATTTGGATTGTGGTCTAACTTAACCCAAGTTAATTGAAGGGTAAATAACATGGATTGTAAGGGTATCTTAGGAACTCTAGGTAGAGGAATCTCTGAATAACTGATTGAGGAAGCTTCTAGGAAGCTGGGGTGGGGACTAAACTGAAGTTCTGAATTTTACACTAAGGGTATCTAAACTAAAACCAAAATTCCAAAAGGTGCAAAGTGCAAAAACTGATCCCTTTAGGCTGCCCTAATACCTTGCCTATAAAGGCATCGTTACTTGATATTCAAGTCAGAAAAATACACTGAAAACACTGAAGACCAAAAACTGCTGAAAATAGAAAGATTAGAGATAAAAACTCTGAAAAAATACTAAAAGCAAACGGCTGGAGCTCTTTTAAGAAGAATACTGAAAATTGTTGGAGTTTTCTGCTTGAATTCAAGTTTAATTTCCTTGTTGAAAAGTCAGATTTAAAGGGTTTAGTATAAATGGTGCATTTGGGGCTCTAAACATCAGAATTAGTTTGAAAATTTGAGGCCTGATTTGCTGGATTTTTGGCACTGTTTCATTGCTGGGCTTAAGCTGATTTCTGCTACTGCTTACTGCTGATTCTTCACCTCTTTTTTTTTTCCTTGTTCCTTACCAGGTATTACTTCAAACTACCGTCAACAAGTAGCTAAGAACATGTATTTCCAACTGAAGCCTGATTGAATACAAACTGTTTCGGATTCCCTTTTTATTTATTTTTTTCTCTATTTCTTTGAATGTTCTGTAATAGGCCATGTGTTGTACATGATAACTTGGTTATCTTATGTTATTGATATGCTGTAGAAGTGAATTTATACCCTTTAAAAGTTTGGTGTTGATTTCTGGATTTAAGTGAATGGTGCTAATTATCCAGATCTCACTACTGTTGGTATTAAGGCAAAGTTAATGGGTTTGAAGTTTTCAGGCTGTATTTGAGTTTAACTTTGGGTTCAGGCATGAATACTTGTTAAATGCATTATCAGCGTAGTCAAAGTTAGGCATGCGTTTTCAGTAGCTGTTGAAGTTTCCCTATGTTCCATTGGTTGTAGAGTGATGAAGCTTATCATTTTGTTTTCAAATGATATTGGTACTTTATGGCTGGTAGGGACTCGATCTTGAGTCTTGAGCCTCGTTTCTGGTTTTGACAGAGGTTGGGCTTTTTGAGCCTGGGCCTCGAGGTCACTTGCAAAGTAAATAGTATGCCCTCGCTATTTGGGATTGCCTCTCGAGCCCAATAGCTTGTGTGTTGCTGCTGGATTTTTCCTCATAGCAAACTTAACTCAAAAAATGCATGCATAAAATAAAATTGGAAGTTTAATTGGTTAATTTGTGCTAAACAGTAGAAATTCAGAAATAAAAAGTGTAGCTCAATTGCATGTCTTCATATGGTCTTAGTTGATTTACATTTAATTGATGATGCACAAGTGTTTGGTTCTGAAGATGGGGCCTGGTGTTGGCCCAATTTGCTCAAATGCCCAAGCCATTTCTTTTCTTTTAAATAATTGGCTTTGTTTCCCTTTAAGACACTTTTTAATTAGTCTGAACGTTAGTTTAAAAGTAGGATTTAAACTCTTTCGTTGGTTATTTAAATTAGATTCTTTTAATGGATCGAGGTGCGCCATGCCGAATAAAATCTCAAAATGCATGGCCCTCGCTTAATTAATTTTTTTAATCCTTAGAAATCGAGGCGTGTCATTTAGTTGAATTCCCATGGCCCTCGCAAACTTGAAAGTGCGTAGTTGCTTTAGGCGCGCTATTTCAAAAATTACCTTCCTAAATTCAGGTGTGCATTTATGTGACCCAAATCCAAATCTCAACAATGTTGGATAAAATATGTCAGGGACCGCGGGTGCATTTACGTGACATGGTTCAAGACGTGTTTTAAATAACGTTGAAATCTTCCTAAAAAATAATTAAATAAAAGCGGTTATAAAGTTAAAGTGCACCATAGGTTAAAACATGTATTAAAATCAGATAATAGGCCAATTATAACAGTTAAGCGACCGTGCTAGAACCACGGAATCCGGAAATTTCTAACACCTTCTCCCGGGTTAACAGAATTCCTTACCCGGATTTCTGTGTTCGCGGACTGTAAAACAGAGTCAATCTTTTCCTCGATTCGGAATTTGAACCGGTGACTTGGGACACCATAAAATTATCCCAAGTGGCGACTCTGAATTTAATAAATAAATCCCGTTTCGATTGTCACTTTAAGTTGGAAAAAACTCCCTTATACCCTTCCGGGGGTAGGAAAAAGGAGGTGTGACAGCTATGGCGACTCTACTGGGGATAAGAACCCAGAACTCATGGTTCAGGGTTCAGAATTCGAGCTTAGAATAACTGTTATAGTTGGCGTTATTTATTATCTGATTTTTACATGTTGAGCCTAATGTGCTAATTGCCGCTTTTTATCGCTTTGATATTATTTGAATTGTATATAAACTGTTACGAAACCCTTCTCTTCTTATCTTCGGGGATGTGCACGCTGGCGTGACTCCCTATTCTGTTAGTGTCATACATTGAAATAAGAAAGAGGCTCGGACAAGTTACAAAGCCGGACGGCCTTTTGGTTCCCGGTACGTAGCCCCCTCCTCGGCTCGAGTTGTCCGCTCGGGTACACAAGTCTAGAACAATATACCCAAGTTTTGAACTTAGAATAACTCAGCCTCATGCCGGATCCCTAGTAGGAACGCTTGTTTGCATCACGTGCATTTGACTTTGGAGACTCAACACAAGGGTTGGGTCTGTCTAGGACAGGTGTACCCGAAATGAAAAGACTATCCTGATGCATCCTAATGTGCTACATGTTGCAATCTTCAAGGGTAAAAGAGTCATTTGACAGACCAATGATAGTTGAGGGCAAATGAAAAAGAAAAAAAAAGGAAAAAAAAGAGAGGGTGAAGTGTGAAAATAAATCAAGTAGGATCCAATTATGTTTTATGTCACGTTTTATAAAAAGAAAAGAAAATGAAAAATTCAAAAATTTTTTGCACTTTCCCATCATTTTCCAAAAAATCAAAAAAAAGGGGGAAAAGAAAATCCAAAAAGAGTTTACGTGTTTCATCATTTTTCAAAAAAGAAAAAAGACAAAAAATATATTTTCTTTAAGTTAGTTGTTATTTTTATTCTCGCCCGTATCCAATCTGCCCGAACTACGCATACCTGATTCTCGTCTTTCGGGGCGTGATACGTAGGCAACCCACATAGGGTCCGGTCTTCCTAGTAAATGTTAGGTTCTTGGCTTTGCGGGGTCTTAGCCAAATTTTGCACTTCTAGCCATCTTTTGGCCAAATAAGCCATTTTGCAAAAATAGCCTCAATCATGTCTTGCATGTGTCCAGTAGGGAGTGTTATTGTCTCACATAGTGTTGGTTTAAAGTTTTCTCATACATGTGTGGATCTGCTTACCGGAGTTTGAGCATGACAGACACCCCGAGACCATCCAATCAGGATCATTCAGGAGTTGCTTAAGGAGATTTTTCTTTTTATGTTTTGAGTCTGTTTTTCTTTTTATGTTGTCTTTTACCTTCTAGTTTTGTACAGTAATGTCGAGTCTTTTGTTATTGTATTTACTATTTTTGTATTGAAAAAAAAAGTGTGTTATAAATCAAAAATCCAAAAAAAAAAAAAAAGAGATTTTGCGTTTTTTATTTCCTTTGGAAGTTTTCTTTAGAATACATATTCTAGAAAAGAAAAAAATCTTTTGAGGTGTTTCTCCTTAGGAAATTAATTTCTAGAACTCCAAATAGAAAATTTTTGCTTTTATATTTCTTTTAGTATATTAGGACTAAAAATTCAAAAAAAAAAAAAAGAGAATTTTCTTTTAGTACCTCTTTAAAAAGTTTTCTTTAAGGTATTCATTTCAAAAATCCAAAAAGATTTTCTTTTGAGGTTCTTCTTTGGGAAACTAATGAAAATGAAAAAAAAAATCCTTTTATTTTCATTAGAACTTTAGGACATTGTACATAGAAGAAAAAGAAAACAACATGATTTCCTTCCTTAAAAAAAAGTCAAAAAATATTTTTCTCTTTTAGGATTTTTCCTTAATAGAGAATTTGTGTCAAAAGAAAAAAAAAGAAAAAAAATCTGTTAAGCTTGAGTTTAGAATAGTTATAAAATATTAAGTCTAGAAAAAAAAAGAAAGAGATTTGTTTCTTTTATTTCCCTTATCTCGTCAAAGTAGTCATTAAGAAAAAAAAGAGGACGTCAGTTTGTTTAGTCTATTCCCGATCTTCCAGAACTACGCAAAGATCTGATTCATGCGGGGTCATGATACGTAGGCAACCTACATAGGGTTCGATCGAATCATTTTTTTATTAAAAGGAAAAGGAAAAAAAAAGGCAAAAAAAAAGAGAAAAAAAAGGGAAAAAAAGAGAGGTGAAGTCATGGCATGTGAGAAATGAGAAGGAAGAAAAAGAGCGATAATCAGAAAGAAAAAAGGGAAAGAAAATGAGCGAGCTAAGAAGTGCGAGGAATGAAAAGAAAAGAGAAGATTCAAATGGACAAATTGGGATGATGCCAAGTGACCTTATGACCCTCGAAGTCATTCTAGAACCATTAATTGTTGCTAGGTGCATTGCACGCAATGTGATATTTTTGCTGTTAAATGCCCTAACGCTAACGGGATGACTCCATTTTGTTCCTTTTGATATCTTCATAGCAGAAAGGTGGTTGGTTTGTGGTTCTCGAAGTAGTAACTCCTCTCCACAACATAAAAGGCAATGGCGGACAATAATAGAATTGGGTTGGTTGATACCGGTGCCCGAAAGCAGTTGGTTGAACATGACATTGGTTTGGCTGATGAGGTAAGGATGTTGAGACAACATATGACGGACATGTATCAGGCCTGGGTGACTGGGAAGGCACCACCCCCGGCACCACCTAGTTTCTTAGATGCTACCCTTACCCAAACTCCGGTCATAGTGCCGGATGATCCTCCATACTCTCCAGATCCACCCGTTTATCACAGCTTTCCCAACCACCCTAGTAGCTCCATCACTCATCCTCCAATTACCTCTTCCCAAAATTGCCCTCCTGTCATATCCACTATTCCCAACAATGAATATCCACTCAAAGCTCATGATGCCCAATACTACACCGCAGAGGTTGCCCACATGGTTCCTGACTCATACAAGAAGAGCCTCGGGATGAGCTTCATGCTGAAAATGAAAAGGTCACAGGAAAAGAAGGGCGAGATGAGATATCCAGGAAGCTGAAAAGCATAGAACACTCCTTAAAGAACATGCAAGGGATGGGAGACCAATTTAACATGTCTTACAAAGAGTTGTGTATGTTCCCTGACGTTTGCCTGCCTGCGGGGTTTAAAGTGCCAAAGTTTAACCTGTATGATGGATATGGAGACCCGGTAGCCCATTTGAGGGTTTATTGCAGTAAAATAAGAAGTGTTGGCGAGAAAGATGATTTGTTGATGGTGTATTTTAGTAAGAGCTTGACTGTGGGCAGCTTTGGAATGGCATAATCGTCAAGATGTCGGTAAGTGGCCTACATTGGGTGACAAGGCTCAAGATTTTGTTCGATACTTTCAGTACAATATAGATATTGTCCTAGACCGCTCCTCCCTATCTCAGATGGAAAAGAAACCCAAAGAAAGTTTTAGGGAATTTTGGTTCAGATGGATTGAACAAGTTGCTAGGGATAGTCCTCCCATTGATAGAAAAGATGTTGCTGAGCCCCGCCAACGACAGGATCCAGTGGGCATTCCTGCTAAACGCTTTCAGCCTCAATACCGACCCTATGAATATCGCCGAGCTCCACATAATCCACCCCAGTATTATCCTCCGAACAACGTCAGGCCATCTGTCCAACCACTAGGTCATTCCACATGGCGAGCGCCAGCACCGCATAGTGCACTTTTGCCTTCACAACATTTGCAAGCATCCAACAACCCTAGAAAACTGGGGCATGGAGGGAAACAAAGGCAAA